TGTGCGTATTAGTTGCGTCTGCCAGTTTCGGTTGTTGGAAGTGCGTCCCTTTGTTGAGGAGCAAAGATTTGAGGCACACAAATCGAAGAAAAGATTAGAGATATCGCCGTCTTTCAAAGCGTGCTTGAGAATTATTAGTCAGGGGAGCCAGCTTTGGCATTTCAGTGGTCCCGGAAAACGTCGGACGATACTTAACATACAAATTAACAGCATGTTATGTTGCAATGTTGAACACAGTCCTTGACAGACTGAAGTGGGTTGTTTGCGTAGACAAGGTGGTATGTTACGCTTTCTGCAGAGCAGCAACTCCAGGCTATAACTTTCGTACACACAAGTGTAATTTAAAATACTTTATTCTCCTGACTCTGTCTAACGACGTAATATGAACTGTCCTTTGATCAACGTCTGTCGTTTTTATTTTTTCACTTGGTTAGCTTGACGAGCAATCCGACGTTTATTCCAGCATCACCTAGGAAAATGTATAATAGATGCAAAGCGCATGTGTTGGATACAGTGAATAGATACACTGAGCTCCACCAAACTAACTGATCGACCGCAATTGTCGCGGTGCTGGTTGAGCATGATGGGTGAGCTTCCTGCAGTAACACCACCAACATCTCACTTAGGGTGGAATTCGAGTGACTACATTCTGCAGACATTATTAGGAACTTAAGCTTATTATCGGAAGATTACATGTGAGTTATTTGGATCAGGCGTCTACCATACTTGGTGAGGTCGGACCATGACTGATGAGAGCTAGAAGTGCATGGTTACCTGGGAGAAGTTTGGATACAAGGGGAGTTCGGTCGTATTGATGGAGCCAGTTAGATGAATTCGTGTCTGAAACCCTGGAACCAACCCTTAAAGCTGTTGTTCTCAGCAATAGGTGGTGCCCATCACACAATGGCCAGAAACGTGTGTTGTAATATTGCATTGTCCAAGATGGCACAAACATCCCCCATCCGAATCGTACTAGCATTTCCTCACTTGTATCTGCACTCTACGAGAGTTTGTACCTTGTGTAAGGTGCCCATACCATTATTTGGGTATTGTTCATACAACGTCCCTGGTATCACAATCCCCCGTGGCTCAGGTGTGTTCCTTCCACTAAACTTGTTATACAGGAGCCAATCAAATTGATTGCAACTTTGCTGGCGGCCTTCGTGCCGAAGACGACAAAAAATGCAATGAATCAGATTCAGATTGATGATGAAATAAGCTTTTCCCCTGACCAGAGCAAGCAGCACTATCCTCGGTTCCAGAGCGTCATTATTATGCTGTAAATTGTTCACCCATGACTTTCACACTGTTGTGGATCTAGCCGGCGACCATTATTGCAGGTGGTCAAAAATGAAATACTAGAAGTAATCTACAGTGCTATGTAAGAGCCATGCTTGTTAACCGAAATCTCTCCTTACGCTTGCCGCAAAGCTAATGATGGAAATGTGTCTTGGAACAAAGCTTAACCCATCGTTCTTGATGTTTTCTGATGCGCGATCATTTGGTGGGTAGGAATTCATTCACATAATATTAATTTCAGCTTACTAGTTGGTTTAATGGTTTGATTTATCTTCAGGTGTCACAGTTTCATGACAAAATATTCACTAAGAACACAACTTCCTCCATGAATGCACAGCAGCCAAAAAATGACTTAAAAAGAATCCTCAAAACCAAAGTCCTTCCTCAGTTTCCCAATGTGGGATCGCGCTGTGCAGATTCCGAAGGCTTGTGTGTATATGAACACAGTGTGTAACTCTAAGAATTCTGCTTTTTATCGGGTTTGTTCTGCCAAGTTATTTAACCGGGTCTGGTCTTTTTTTCTCAGTCAGTAGCTCGTGTAATTCGTGTATCCTGCGACAAATTAAAACCTGCTGTTTCGAGACGGGACGATATTTTTATTGGACGTCAATCTGGCCATCACGAATTCATGCTTGCCTCACTCAGATGTGGGCAGTGAATGAAATAATCAAAACACATTTAACTGAACATCTTCGTTTCACTTTTGGACCGCTTCATTTGGCTGGTTTGTTGCCTCAGTATTTCGCCTAGAGTGAAAAAATCAGTTGAACTTAGAACAAACCTTTATGTTCTCCACTCTAGTCTAGACCAACGCCAAACACGAAACACTGACCTACTTGCATGAGTCATAACTGCAAGCAGGATCAATGTGTGCCTACAACAATAACGCGTACCAGGTGGGGGAAAATCGGCTACACTAAATTGAGATACAAGGTAAATTCAACAAGCTGATTGGTAAACCAACAAGCCTGCTGCCTCTTGTCAGTTATGCGACTGATGTTGTTTCTGCCGCTACTTTGTCGTATAGAAGTCTAAGTACACTCAGCTAGTCGTCCAGTTACACACCTACAGCAGGGCAGACAAGTAGGCACACGTGTTCTTTCGTACACGAACGTCTGTTGTTAAAAATAAACTTCGGAGGGAAATGAGAGACAATTGATATAGTGGAATGACTGACATTTGTAAATGCTGCTAAGACGTGCACACCAAGCCGGGAGATAACAAAACGCCCATTACAACGATTATGATTGTACACAACGCACTATTCGAAATTACGTCCTCGTCCCTTGCAGAGCGACAAAGTAATGAATACGTCAAATTGTACCAGCCCCACCCCTCGGAATAATAGTCATAAATGTATACAAACGCGTTTTAACGTAATGAATCGAAATTGTCTCCTCTTAAAAATTTGGGACATAACGGTGAATTCAGCTCTCCAACTTGGTCAGCAAGACCGGATTTTATTCCATGTTGGTTTTGCTAGAATGAAGATTCATCTGATATTTATCCCCCTAAATGGTGCCAGTCTGAGTACTGATATGTAGTCGTCCTTTGAAACCCAGCGGTGTAAGTTAGTATAAAACACTCGTTCCAGGTAAAATAATTTTCGGATATTTTGGAGCATCACACCAGACTATCTGGGATATCTGTCAGGTGGTCTTCCAAGCCCTACCGGTATGTGCACTCTAATAACGCCACTGCAACGGTTGACGACATCAGAGGCATAGGAATGAGAACGAACTGTTAATAAAAGTCCGGTTTAGGTATAATTGGATGGCATATAAAACGGATCGGTTGGTTAACAATGACTCATACACAGGACGCGTCCACGTATCAGGCGGAGCCCAGGTTTTTCGCACGGATCTCAATATCGTGTTTGCGTAAACCCGGTGGGAAGTGATCGGCCGACAAGCAAGCAGTGGCTTGGAGACATTCATCATCGACCTTTGCACAATGACATAACAAGCAAAACCAGCACTAGTTCTTTTGCACCAACGTCCTAGCCATGTCTCCCAAGCTCTTCAAGTTTCGGTGCAACAAGTTAACGTAACAAGGCTTTTTGAGGACGTCAGTTATTGTCTCATCCAACCGCAAATGGACACCCAGACTGTAGACCAACATTCGGCATCATTACCACCATCTCGGACTATGGCAGCATAGGTGAATTTGTATCGACATGAAGTCGAAAAAGAATTACCTCTCGCATCTGTTTACTATAAATGGGGAATAAACCAGACAGTTTGCCAGCGTTTCATCTGTGGAGGAGTACGCCAGAGACCACCTAGTCCGATCCAGATGAGGTTTGTGTACCCGAAAGTTGCACGAATCAAGGTGACTTTGACTATACGCAACATTCTAAATGATGTACCTGCCTATACTTTCATACAAACGGCTGTTCACCAGACGAATCCATCAAGTGGCAACTTTTCCGGAGAATTCAAGCCAAGATAACCATCTTTCTAACTTATATGTAGACGGTTGCAATGGCGGAATTTCAACCACCAGTCGGCTTGAGTGAGTTTTTTCTGACGTTCGTTTCAGTTGGCGCATCCAGTGTAACTTGTTGTGCTTCAGGGTTCAGTTGTAAACCTCAGTATTAGGGGTTTTATCCGACTATTGATGTTAGAACGTCTTTCTCAGACAGCGGAAATGAATGTTGTTAAGCTATCTATTGTCCCGTAGACGCACTTTCCATGTTTCATTGCTATACGGCAGGAAAGGTAATATGACAGTCCGGTATTCTTTGAGCTTATTGTTCACGCATATGTTGTGGTTGTCCAATAAGCACTTATAGGATCCACTATAAGCATCACCTCCTTTATAACCTGAGCACCCGGTACATTTCTGACTCTGAAGACCATGGGTGAGTTGCTCCACAAGTAACTAGACTACGACTACCATTTTGAATACACATTTCCTGCAGTTGCAAAGCCCAGATGAGTTTAAAAAGGACAAGTGCCTCACAGGCGGTCCCACCCATGCCAGGGCAGGCCAACTGTGGCGTCAATCCCTGTAATTATGCCTCCGGATTAACAAACGAACGAATCTGGGTACCTTTATTTCGAGTTGGAGACATCCTTCGATTAGAGGACCTGCTGCTCAGCGTAACGCATTGATAAACACATCTGAAGCAACCATTGACTGCGCATAGACATCAAAACCACATTGCATCGGACTGTTGTGCAATCTTTGTCTTCACACGGGAACTTGGGTCTGGGCAAAATATTTTGGATCAGATGGAAGGCAGGAATCCCAAACAAGTAAGTCCCTCGGGAAGAAAACACCTAATTTGTAGGGCGTGAAATTAACATCACAGGTGAGGCTGCTTAAGAGGAATGGTCGAAACGAGCATCCTAAAATAACTTGTACGTGGTCAGCTGGCAAAGTGCTTCCTTAATCTGGAATTTCTAAACTTCCGCTTCTGAGACATACTCGGATTACGTAATAGGCATAGTAACTCCCAGTTTAGAACACACGAAGTTCTGACACTCCATACAGAAGCTCGAATAAATGCTGTTCATGCTGATGCAGAGAAAAAAATGATTTCCGCCTCGCAAAAACATGTGTTGGAAAATGTTCTATTCGGTTTAAATGTCAGAAGTGCTGTAACTACTGCCATGTTTTAGAGCCATCCATGCCAAAACCCTTCCTATGTTTGGAGGGGATAAGTGCCCAGGAATTTTGGAGCGGATCTTACTTACCAGTGACGGTTACCTTCGCCATGGCATACCGGTATTCCATTCCAAGGCATTCTGCAACACAAGTGTAATTACCCGCGTCTTTTTCCGTCACGTTTTCTATTATCAGGTGGTTGTAGTCGTTGAGAATGATATGTGCAAAGTTGTCTTTATTCACACGCTTTCCATCTTTGAGCCAATATACCTAAATCGTTTAGAGAGAGAGTGTGGAAAGTTATGTAAGCTACACTTTTTGTGCACAATCAGTCATGGCATTAAATTCAAATGATAGACTGATCATAGATCAAAATCCAACGCAGAATGAAACAATCTCATCTGTAGTACTCTTTTGGTGCCTAGTTGCCATGCCACCCGAAGGAAGCACTGTCCAGTTTCCCAAGCCTAGACAAGGGAAGTCGACAGGCGGAAGTCGGTTTCGAACCACGTTCCGGTCGGTCAGTAAATTCGCGCTCCAACCACTGAGCGATCCCGCCACGTTGAAACAATCCACTTTGGTAGTAATGAGTTCAGCACGCAACCAAACCCAGTGATCATCTTTTTCATTGTTCAATCGTAACAGACGTTTCACACGGCCATGTTGGATCAGGCATAAGCAGTCAGCTTGTCTGAAACAGCCTAAGAATCTACATACCAAGATATACTTCACGTTGGACCGAATCCTCGAAATTTGAAATCGCCATCGTTGCTAATGAAGAAGTTATGGGATTTCGGCCGGGGCTGCTGGTAATGCTATCGTCCTTGTTTTTTCCTCATCCATATGTCCAGCGCAGAGTGTCTCTGAGTGTGCTCATAATCTGAACAAATAACATTTTATTTGATTATGTACGCATGCTGTCAAATTCTTTGACTCACTCGCAAGCAGCAGTTCATGAGGTGAGACGTTTCTCTACTTTCATACCATATCCAGATATGCCTGTTTACTAATTACAAGGTTCACAAGCTGCTGCTTCACTTTTCTGATGACACACATTAATACATCTGGGGGAGTAATACTCACGAGAAGTACCTACAGGCTATCCTCTAAAATCCGGATGAAAGCTGGCAAGCGTATAACTGAAAGCTTTTGAACAGAACAGCGTATTCAGGTCGGGTTTTTCTACTCAAAGATGGTGAACTTCTGAAATATTATTATGCACTAACCTCAGGTTCCGGTTTACCTTTTGGAGGGATGCACGTAAGAACCAAACGTTTTCCGTAGGACAAATCGGTCGAGACCGGTTCCAGTTGAAACTTGCGATCCAAATCTGGTTTTGAGTGTAATAAACATACAAAACATTGTTTAGTTACGTTGCACATCTAAATGGCGTCTCGGGTCATGTCTGACTAATGTTTATCTTTAGGATGTGCAACCGCCGCAGTATTAAGGTACATCGTCAGCTTCGATAGCTGTCGCCTAGAAACTACGTGGTTCCTATCTGAGATTACGTTTTATTTCTGTCCTCTGTTACTACAAACGACGCTCAAGCCCTTTTTATGTCAGTCTAATAGTTCGCCGATCTTAAAGCATTTCTTACATGAGATTCAACGACAATCGAAGTGGTATAATCAGAGTGGTATTTTATGGTGTATTTGGTCTAAACATGGCATTTTGTCCGGTAGGTAATGTTAAACAAATAGTGTAAACCGAAGTTAATGGCAGACTAAATCCTGTGACTTTACAGTATTATGTTCATTTGACTGTTTACAAGCAGCCATTAATGTAGTATAAAGATTATCTAACAAAACAACAGGATAATTTTTATTACACCCGATGCAAGAACTGATTGACTATTATCTGCTATTTAGACCTACATTAGACGATGTGCGTGTTGCACAAAGGCCACCGAAAACACTTGGACAGTCCACCAACGGTTTCCACCTTTTTCAGGCGCATCAGTGTAAAGCTAATACATGTGAATCCACTATCCCCACGTTCTGTATGAAGAACAAACACTTTTCTCCGTCAGGCAGTGAATTGTCTTTTTGTAAACTTTGGCCAACGACGGAACGGTTCCGAATAAATTTGGCCCTGCGTTTTCTTCTGTTTTGTTTCGGCAGTATATTTGTGATAACACGTTTGTACAATTAATCTATTTCAAACCCTATGCTCAGCTAATGAAACACAACAAGGGCGAATAAATGAGTACTGCATTTCTTGGATTTCGCCTACACATCACCATGACTTTAATATCCAGGCACAGCGCTTGGTGACTACCAGGCTTGGGTTTCAAAAGAGCAGACCATGATATTTCGAACTTCATGCCAACTTAAATAAGAGGCAGCCTTTTCGCACTATACTGTGTTGGAGAATATAACAAACGGGATCTTTAGCTGAGTCTGTCGTCAACACCATCACTTATTGCCAACAACGCCACAGGTAATCATGACGAGATGTTGAAGAATGAAACCATAAATAAGATATTTGGCGTGATTACAGGTGAGTCGCCCATGGGAACCAAAAATGTATGCAAATGCTGAGAATGACTGCCATCAGCGTTATGATAAAGCTAGTCTTTTTCGCGAGTACCGAACGTGCTGTATGCAGCAATGCATAGGTGAAGAGTTATTCAAACATACTGATGTTGGTCTATTTTAGCGGCTGTATGTTTAAAATCGCATCAAATGATCAACAGCGAAGTTGATCCGACGTAGACTACTTCGGGTCAAGCGGGATTTCAATGCATAACTTCTCCTATTATTGGGGCCAGCCTATGTTGAAATGGCGAACATCACCCTACAGTTGTTCCATCCTTTGTTGGTATCACCATCAGTGCACATATAGTAAGCCCGCACCCTCCACGTTATTGTGGCGACTCATCGTCAGCTATTCTTGCAATAAATAAATCATACCATGCATTTGCAGCGCAGTTTACTGTTTACACGATGTCACCGTTCAGTGAGTTCTAAAATGATTGGGAGTTTCATTGTCTGTAATAGCCCTCGGTAAGATTACTCTTGTGTCGTCTGTGAGTACGCATGTTACATCATCCCCAGAACAATAACGAAAGTGGCGTGGATCTTATTGGGCTTTGTGAGGGGGCGCCGATAATAGTGTAAGGAGAATTCCTAATTTTGAAATGAGTTTTCTTGCTGCCATTAAAGCCAACCTGTGCTGAAGAGCTGAAAAGCACCGTACAGCTGTCAGACCATTTTTGAGAATCAGCAACAGTAGGTACCTCACGAACCTCTAGGACGACTCGGACCCACCACAACTCTGTTAGTAGTTTCAACCTTTAATTGTTCATCTAGGGTGGGTCATCAGTATTGTGTTGAACTTACAGTTCGACAGGATGTAGCGCTACTTTTCCTTTACGCACACGACCCAAATTACGTAGCCTCCTAATTACTGGCTCTTAGAAGAAAAACTTCCCGGAAGGAATCCATACTCATTTTGTGAACTCACTTGTTTCCTGTGGGAACAGGACTGAAAATAACGTGGAAGACCGTCCTATGGTGCTACTTCTTCACTATAATCTTATGTTCAGTTTATCAGCTTCGAAATTCACCAGATCATTCACTTTTTTGTTTTACATCACCAGTTGGAAGTTTGTGTGCTTTTTCAAAGCAAAGTCACTTTAAGGAGACAGAAGGCATTCATTACTGATCTGTATACCCGAACTACTCTTAGTTATGAACGTCCGAAAAAAGTAAGCTGCCATAACCCCAAGGATATATTTGGGGATAGTCTTCATCTCCCATGCAGAACTGTACTCTTTTTTTGCATTTCAACAAGAAAATATGTGAATTATGCGGGTAAATCATCAAGCAACCGCCCATGCCACCACAAACACGAATATCCTCTATACGGTAGAAACAGTTATCTGAGAAAGATTAATGGAAATGCCAAACAAGTTATTCAGACGACAGGTAATCCCCAACGGGGTCAGAGAACAAAAGGGAAGATCTATTATTCCCGGTCAACGCAAGCACAAGAGTGATAAATCATTGGCTGGGACTGCCTTCATGTAGTACGCAATCTTTCCCAAATCAGATCACCTTCAATCCGTCTATAACACCACTAGACCAAAGAGTGATATTTACTTCAAGCGATAATAAAATATCCTCCTCACAAACTACTTGTAGCAAAAGTTATCGTAATAATGCAGACCCATTTGACAGCTACAAAGCATATAAAATCAAACGGTGCGTGAAATTTGGTCAGAGGATTTGAATCACTACTGAATTATGGTACTGTAACAATTTTGGGTAGATTTTCTCAAGCGTTCTTAAATGTAACAAAGCTAATGTATTAGGGGATGTTGAAAAATTTAACAATTAATCGGAATAACATTTGTTGACATTGTCATAAATTGAATCAAACCAATAATAAACGAATGGGTTATTGACCCGCACTTTATTCAGTGTGATCTTCGGTAGTTTATGTGATGTGGCTAACAAATGGCCAGATTGTCCCTAGAGCTCCATTCGCCAAGTAGCCTATATCGAATAAATTCTACTGCAAGGTCCCTCGCTAACATTCGAAAAGATTATTAGCATGTGAGAGACCACGCTATTTGAATCGCAAAAATTATGAGGGTTTCACTGACGAGCCCAAATAACCAAAGACAGTGGTTTCTGCTTGATGTGAACATCCAAGTGAAATCAATAATAACCTGAAAATAAACAGCCAGGAGAAGCTTCGAAATTTTTCACCAGCTCTAGTGTAAAAGGGTCACTCGTTTGCAGATAAAGCCACTGATCCCAGAGTGTTAATTTGTTAATATAACGTCCCCGTAGCTGAATGCGTGGAAACTAATAAGATTGAATGCAGTTACTCTCGTCTGTCTGAGATAAATGGTTTGCAGGGAATTCTCCACTCATTCTTAATGGGAATGTCTTTTATGCAAATGAAAACCGTTGACAGGCGTCGACCTTCGTGCGACAGGTGAAGTCAACGCAACGGACAAAAGTGGCGCATGATAAACGTTTGTTCGCAAATAGACCAAGCTGCTGAACACACAAGCAGAAATGCACACGACCATTCGAATCGTATGTTGTTTGGAACACCTGTGTAATTAGACGACCAGCCGGCCGTCGTACAATTTGCTCGAACCAAAGTCCTGGATAATTATCTCCAGCTGTTGTACATTTAAGCTTGGGAAAGCAAGTGATTATGCACTGAACTAGTGTTCAGCACTATCATATTCTCGGAACAGTTCCCTAGGAATCTGCGTCGTACGTGGCTAGGTGTAAATATAAAACGTGTTTGGATTTGGGCAGCGGAAAATAACAACGGCGATAACTACAAATGCCTAGGTGTTAAATGGATTATTTACGTAAACTATGGTTCCAAAAAGTTTAGTGAGTTTTAAATTCTTGGGAATAATACTCGCCACACAGGGTGACATTCCGGCTTTATGCGAGGACTGGACGTTGCAAGTGAGCGTAAGACGTGTCGGTTAAGATGTGCCAACTGACAATAAACTTTGCCTTTTGGATCAATTTAGCCCTCACAACAAATCTATACAGACGTTTTGGAACAAACGCCACAAAGGTACAAAGGTACTAAGCTGAATGGATTCTAAGTCTTCTTTTCTTCTTGTATGCTAATATATGTTCAATTTGACTGTTTGTATCCCTCTGCATTATGAAGATCTCATGTAATTCAAGTACTGGTTTACACGAAAGTCTACCCGATCTAGACAAAAGAGGTGTTGATAGCCCTTTCTGTCAAGAAATTAAAGTCATCATACAGGTTTTTCAATGGGGTCTGTCTTCTCTAATGATGGATTAACTTTAGCCTAGTTCGGCTCCGGAATCATAGTGACCACAAAACGTTGTTAAGAATCACATAAACGGGACTCGGCGAATGTAGGTGACATGTGAACAGCTATCACTACGGTTTAACAACAGCATAGTTTGAATGTATGTGAAGTGAGCTAACTGTTTCCAAAGGAATAGAAACAAACCACCCCCAACATCAGAATTATTGGGAAATCGAGTCATTACTCCTCATTTTTATTACAGCATTGTGTGAATATGCTCTTTATTTACATGAATCTGTAGGGAAGAAACATGTACTTAGACACCAATGTTTGGTCCAGAACGTTGTGTTGTCGCAAGAGCTGCAGACTAACCGGTGACTTCCATCACACGATAGAAGAATCTATTATTCCTCCTAACTCATCAGTAATATAAAACTGGTCATCTTACGTTTGAACTTTGGGATCTGATCACGATCGAGATCTAGTTACTGAGCGAGTGTTCTCCTCCTTACTTTTACCTGGCAACACATGTAAAGAGACTCATGTCACGCCGACAGTCGAGTTCAATATCAATGAATGGACTACCGAAACTGTCCGTAATAATGTGGTAATGTACAGATGATTGGATGACTCAGTCCTGTTAGAGATTTGCGTTGCGCAAACACTAACTGTATGTACTATCAGAGTACCGATTGGCTGATACATCAGTGAAACAGAACAAGGTGGTGTGAACCGTTTGCTCAAAAGCTTCAGATCAATTGCACAGTGATATGGGGAGTAGTCAAGCTAGGTATATGGAAGTTTCACCTCCACAAAAATGTTGTATAGTTTCATAAGTGAAACCTCTCACAAAGTTGCTGAAAACTCCTCGACACTACGGTTTCGACCTTTTTATGGCTCATTAGATAAGCGCAATCCTCGAGTTTCCGCCAAAATTTCGTTTTACTTAAACCCAAATAAGATTTCAGCAATTTACTCTTTTACATATCATCTTGGCTCCTACGGGAGACTCTAATGAATCTCCCGTTCATGATATTTTTCAACTGAATGTGCTGCACAAAGGCTGCCTCATGCTCAAGTTGGCACGATATTTGGAGTGTCGCAGCACGTTTCCTTGGAGTAACATAAGGCTAACGATAACTCGAAGACTATGCCTTCTTGATGAGCCTCAAGAAGGAAAAACAGATGTTAGGATGCTGAAACTCCTGGAAACCTTGTAACTAGTGCCCTTTGTAAAAACATACTGCAGTATCTCGAATATCGTACCGACTGATGCAGGAGGCGGCCACTGTGTGGCATAATCGGTTGATGGATACAGTAAACCAGAGGTTTGTTTGGGTTTCCCATGAAAACCAAAGTGATAGGGAAATGAGTGTATCTATCGATGCAAAATCAGTTCAGTGGAGTAGCAGCAAGAATAAATCAACAACTGTAGGAAATGAAGTTTACAGAGTCTGACTTCACATATATACCAATATGGTTTTCATACAAATTCTGCCAAGTTGAGTGACACAGAGGCACATCCAAATTGAGAAATTGAACTAGTTTACTCGTACTTTTTTAGTGTAAACTACACGTCGTCTGAAGGCAGTGGGTGGATGACATCCGTAGTTCAGATGTTCGCTCAAGATTCCGCAAGATATGCTTAAAATATCAGCATGCTCCAAACCGTTTTCAAGTATGAACACACGTTGATTGCAACTAAATGTACTACTGAGAGACGATGCTTTAAAAACCGACACAAATGGGGTTCAACAAATCAAAGAGCGAAACATGGTCTGGCTTTTTACAAGAATGACTGGATAGATGTATCCATTTAAGATGCGCTTTTGGTTTATGTTGCGCGCACACTGAAGTTATGGGATGGGAGATTGTCAATATACATTGAACAGACGCTGATATGTTATTCGGTTAAACAACTGCACAAATAGGTGACAGAAAGAAGCCGGAACGATTGCGCATATACGGGATATACTAGCACGATGAAAACCTGTAGCTTTGTGCAGATCAGGGGGACGTATAATCCCGTCTCATAGCAAACAAAATGCCATCCACTTACGTTGACCACGTATAGTTAGTATTGTAATAACGGGACGTTTCTACCGATACTAATCACAACGGGCAATGAGCAAATGCAGTGATGTTTTTGCAAACACGGAGAGTAAACAAAATTGACAGACGCACTTTCACAGAACTCTTTGTTCTTTCCTGACACTACATATGATGTGTCGCTGTACATGCCTGCATAATCTAGGCTACTATCTGGGTCACACCGCGCAATAACCATGAAAAGCTGGATTGAGCTCGACTGCTTTACCATATCACTATTGCGAAAGGGGCCTGTATGAAACGGGGCGTAAGCATTGCAGAGCACAATGTAAGTGACATTGGGAAGCATGAGGAAACCAAAAAGACTGTAAGTGTAATGCCAATGCTCAGCTTTGGACACTGACATTCTGATAGTTGAACGGTAGAATCCTACTGGTAGCAGTAAATTTCCGCACCTCGAAATGTGTGCGTGGCATATATCTACTCCTAAATTACTCCTACAATATTCAACTTTGTAAATTTTGAATGTGTAGTCGCTTTTCGCTCACGTGACTACAGGTCCTCTACTTTTTGTGTCGAAACACAATGAAGGTATAAGTGGCCGTTGATGAACACGTGTGTGGCTCGGCCCCAATCTGTGTGGGTTTCTGGTCCGAACAGACTCAGTTGTTTTGGTTGAAGAGCTGTACGTCAGCGCGCTTTTGCTCGTCATGTACTAGTCGCTCCTCTGAAGTTCGTATATAGCCTACACTCTAAACTATGTAATGAGTTAAAATGTGGTTGCTTGACAACATCTGAAGTGATCTAAAGCGGGAGAAAGCTGCGTGAAATGGAAACTACAAAAGAAGGGATACATTAGAAGATACACTGAACATGTTACGTTTTTCGGCTTTATTCTGTAGATCACTCTGTCATTCTGCGTTGTCAGACGTTTTTGGATCTCAACAACTTTCTACGGGGAAGCTGTTTTGCGAAAAACTAAACTATGTCAAAGCTTCTCGCTTGAATTATTCCAAGAAACATGTAGTTTCAACCCAACTTGTATCCAGACAACAGTAATTTAGGGCCAAAATTTGGAAGTGAAACGAAACAGAAACTTACATGCTTCAATAACAACAGCTTCCTTGCTGAACACCTTTTTTGGTCTCTGAAGTTCGATTACTTTGTTCCAAGCTTCACACCGGCAGACATAAGAGTCGAACCACTCCTCCACCTCTTTCGCTCGCACCTGTAATTCCAAATGCCACCGTTTTCCATTGGGATCGGGTTGATTGTCAGAATCTAAACGGGTGACTTTCAGCCTTCCAGGCTCGTCGGGTCCTTTGTACGGGATAATCTGCTCAGCGCACTCAATCACAGCATGAGAGACAGGTTCTGCGACACAATCTATTGTGGCTGGATGGCCCTTCATTGTATAGTACAATGGTTTTGGGTGTTTCAGAAAAAACGGTACGCCTTCCAGATGCGTCTCGTCTGGCTGTACGAGGTCCTTCTGAGAATCCGCTGTATACAGGTGGAACAGAATTAGGAAGCAAATAATTAAATATCTCCGAAGGTGCATGTTGTTTGTCCGAATACAAAGGTTAATTCGATCACATATTATGTTGCGCAAAAGTTGTGTCAGGCAAGATATGTTGCGAATACTTTATTCAAAGTTAACGGTAATGATTCAGCGTGGCATCCAATAAATTAGCCAATCATCTGCCATACTGTTAACGGTCCCAATGTGGATGCTGATTGGTTAGTTTCATCATAGAAATCGGTGTGGCAGGCATCACTCATCCTTGAGAGCTTAGACAAACCGTTAATCAGGTTATTTAGTAGGACTTTGGAGGTGCGTGCGTCTGCGCAGTTTGTTTTTCGAAACATGGAGGTCGTCTAAAGACTGGGACGGATGACTCGCTTTGCTAATAATCAGCGTGTGAACACGTTACAACGCGCTAGCCGGAATGAGTGACAGTTACAAAAGTTTATTCAGTACCCTGTTGGCTGAACCTAACTTTAAAAAGTGGGGAAGTGTCTTTCTTTTCCAGTAGATGTTGTTTTAATGAGAAGACCAAAACTAACATGGTGATCCTAGCTGCTTGGAGCTCCATCTCGCCTGGAAATTAACGAGCACTGGAGCATATACATATACATGTTTTTACCAACCATTGTCCCAGTGCTTTTCTTGATAGCAAAATAGAATAAAAATAATTCAATTACCGAATCAAGTAAGGTGCTGAAATTTCATCACCCCGAAAATGGCGCTGCGTCCTTAAAGATTGAAATTATTTGCTGTACTTTGGATCGTTACGCGGGTTCATCGTGGTATCGATCAGCATTTGGCGAGATTTAAACTATCTACTTAACGCGGATACAACCTAAATGTTGTTCTGATAACATTCATGGATGAACATATTTTCTGGCCTTTAGGGCAGTCAAAAACATGTGGCTAGGCGCCCAGAACCATTATAGCAGCTCGTGATATAAGCCTCATGGAATCTGTTACATTGCGATCTGCTTAAAAATTTAAACACAATCTTTTCACGTGACGACTGGTCAAAATTGCACACATACTGGTGCTCCCTTAATTTGCCAATGAATGGTTGCCTTTTGGGGTACCATTCTCCGTCTTCGAGTAAATGATATGGACACATTGGCTGCACATCAAACTTTTGCTGGATCTGACACGTTCGCACGTAACACGTCAGAAGTGGAAGAGCTGACAAAAACTTCGCCAGGTTAAGATTCTGTGGGCGAGTTGCATAAATGCTTAACCTTGTTACTTGTTAATTAAATTAGTTGACGAATTCTCTCATCAGTTTGTTCGTTTAGGTTGTGGCGGCTTCATCCAGTGATCATGAATCGCTGCTCTTAATGTTGGTTTTCTCGTAGAAAATAGAGGTTAACTCACTCTATATTATGTTGAGTTTTGATAAATGGTGATGAAATAAAATGCCTTATCTTAGCATAAGTTCAAGCACCTTGTTCCTCTTTCAAGTAAAAAGTTGCACAAAGCCGGAAACATTTGCATTTTAAAACCGAATTTATCGGAATTTACTAATTTCTTTTGTCCAATCCTTGAGACAGTGGCTAAAAATTTCACGGATTAATTCCACAACGGTGTCTGATGTTTGAGATAATGCAATGTGCTTTTGGACACTCAGCCTTGGTGACTGCCGTGGAGTTTTCATATCGCACAAATTGGGACGTTTCAGCTTCGCTTTCCTGGATCGACGACGACATGGCTGAAAGCCGATCACTGAGCTCAGCGAACCAATTGACGATCATCCCACCGGCAACGAATAAACGCATCCAATAAATCTATATAATTTCACTCCCATCATTTTCTCCGGATGCGTCATAACCATCATCTCCTCATTACCAGGAGATGTAAGAATTAAACCCCGTCAAACCTAGCAACTTGATCTATTTATTTGGTCATTTTTACGAGCGAACTCAGACATGACCCTATCGAATTCGGTCAGATCGTAACACGATCAAACCCATTCGTAAAGACATGATAAGCTGGGGTCTTTCACAGTAGCCTACATCACTGCCACATGAGAGTTATCCTGAGAGACGGATCAGGCATTTCAATAAAGAGCCACCAGAATCGTTTTTTGGACGCTTGGAAATTCTGGTCTTGCAGCTCAAGCACAGTCGGAGTTGTTACACAAAGCATTGTCAAATACTATTTCTACACATTTCCTTGAGGTCTTTGAGTAGAGGTTGCTTTGATTCTTTCTTAGGATAGCCAGTCATTTGCCGAGATCAATAATCGTTCTTCCAGCCAGGTTGTACATCCAGAGCAGATAAGTTGAAATTCAGCGTGTTTGCTTGCAGGATCTTATGTCAGTTGTAGCACAACGGCGCACTGGGCCAACCTGTCGATTTCAGGGGGGAGTTTTTAGCACAGTACGACCTTATCTGTATAAATAAACCTATATGCAACATTTGGCTGCGTAAAACTACATATTATATGTTCAGGAAAAAGAACTCTCCACAGTTTAATTGCTCTTCCTATGGAAAACTGCTATTCCGACAGCCAGTCAAATCAAAATAAGCCATTTAAAACTGAGCAACTGCGGAGTTTCGGCGCTATCTCCTGTTTAACTGCAAGTAAATCACACCGTTTATCGGTCATCTGTGGCCCATCAGGATGGCGTTTCGCCTTTAGGTGGACGGTTTTTGGTTCTATCCTTGTCGGAGATACATTTGGTGGGAATAACTAATGTTCCTCTACGAAAAAATGACGGATACCTTGTGAGGAGTACAAGGTTGACTTGGATATTTGAGTCCGTGCTGAAGCACAAAAGTTATTGTTAAAGATCTCACCACCGCGATCTTGAGTACTGTGATAAGTAATTCTGCAATGTGACCTCACATATCTAAGTTTTTGCTGCACCCGATCTATGAACGATTCAGCTGAAAAGCCAAAAGACGTAAGCGTTTTCAGCGATTGCATTCCAATTTCATTTCGTAACCGCTGTGGAGCAGTCCAAAACGGTGTGGATGAGTAAGTGAATGGTGAAAAATCATTCTCCTGCAAGTGTAAAAACATAAATCCTGTTATATGCCACACATGTTATATGTGTCTGGTTTTGGTGCATAAAACCACATCTAGATTCTCACGACCTATGTATATCAGGTGGTCTTTATCGAAATGGCTGATTGCTCACTATTGTAGATTAGTTGTCCCGATGCCTTTGTTGATTGTGCGTGTACCATAGAGGACAGTCATCGTGATAAATTTGCCACACATAAGACCCGCTCCTTCGTGGGCATTACCGGCAAGCTGAACAGTCTCCTCACAAAACTCTTGTAAATAAGCCTCATCTATAAGATCATGAAATAGGTCTTCGTTTGAGGGACGGGTGGCAGTCCTCAATACTTGTAGTTCTGTATAAGGCAAGTTTGATGAACCATAATCAACGGTTTCGCGTGATACTCTCTGATAATGCTAGATTTTTTATGGCAATTTTAATTCCTATAAAAATGGAGGGAATCAAACAGACCGGCGTGCAAAATAACACGGTGACAAAACCCTACTTTGGCCTCAGTATGAGCGGATGCGTAACACGAGGCTTCCATCATATCCGAAGATCTGTTTTAACTCGTCTCAAGTTTTCCCGAGAAGATTACTTGATCCAGAATAAACTATCCGACCTGAAGTACAAAGTCAACCGTTACGTGATGTTTTGCGAGGGATATCACCGAACTTCATGATTATTGGTAACCACTGATAACTTCAATATTATGGATGAAAGATTGTTTTGTTTAGGTGCTTCTTAATAGCGTTCCAAATAATTACATTGCGAATGCAATCCACATCCTTAATTTTGAGTTACAGTGATTGGAATAGACTTCCGGGTCAAATACAGTTCAACCCAGCAAAGCTTGTTTTCAGGTTTGTGTTTTCGATGCTAACTTCCCCTTGAACTATAGATGCAAAAATTGACACCGTCGTGAATCTTCTGACACTTCCGCATCCTGAACAGACTTGTCACCGCTTCTGTTAGATTTTTGCGCGGACTGACAACTTATCAGTGAACTATCCAGAGTCACATTTTGGTGTCTTCAGTTAATTGTTTCTATCATACACTGCGGCCGAAAACCAATATACAGGGAATTTATTTTCCATAGGTATACCTCCACTAAGGTTAGGCTGGGTAGCGTTGTCTCACAGTATTTCAAGTACTATATTCATTACTCGGGACCTTTGGTTGTGAATTCGAACGGATAAAACCAAAATGAACCGAAGAATGGTAAGTTGGGTGATGTAGAAGAACTGGAACGGAAGAAAACTAGCTTCATTCAGTTACATCACAATATTTGCTCCGGCCATCTGTCAATCGAGCAAACATGAGGTTTGGATTGACGCCTATGAAAACTCCATATTCTGTTGAGCTTGTCTAGACATCAAAATAATCACAACTTCGTGTTGCTTTTCAGAAGTCACTCAGTTTCGCCCAATCATGCAATATAAACGTGTCTAGGTGACACAGCTGTAATATACGGGCCATAAGATGAATACAGCCAAACAGGTGAAAATACATAGGAAACGTTTGACCAGTATACGTTGCTAACGATTCGAGTAGCTGTCAGATAGTTTTATTCAATCTCCCAATGCGTCTTCAAGGGTACTGCGGTGATCGCATTACTCTGTTAGTTTCTTTCCCGATAGCACATTTGTTTTGCTTGGTTACTCACGATTGTGTGGAATTCCCCAGAGATTGCGTTGTGGGAAGTCTGCCTATTCAAATACCGAGTATGTATCAACGCAGTCTCATCAGGTCCTGTCAGAAAGCACAGGAGAGAGATTGTATCAATGGTCATACGTTTCATAACAAATTCGACGCTAGACAACTCACTCCAAGCGTAAAATCTACTGACGGCCAAGCTGTATTACAGCTTGATTTTCCTAGCACTTTTTGCTGAGTCAGACAATTATTCCATTTAGCTCTTTTAAAAATATAATGGTCTTGTCTACTATCCGTCCTAATTTGCAAATTGCCAAGCTTCAGTAGGAGTAGTCAGATGCTATTCAGTAATGCCAACAAACGGTATAGAAACCAG